ATCCAAAATAGAGGGGAGCAATCTGAGTTTCATCCCTTAGCTGTAAACACCAAATAGAGCATGGTGAGCACAAATAGCAGTGGGAATCATCAGTAAAGCCGTCGGCTGGCCATGCATACAAAATATTGCTAGCCAAAAGAAACAAGAAATCCATCAAAATACTAAAATAAATAGAAAGGAAAAATGTTCAACTAAACCTTTCTGACTTTCATGTTGCGCCAGCATCACCTTCTCATCCCAGCCGAGGGCACTTTTATCTTGCCGGTCCGCTTCAACACCATATTTTCCACCAAAACCTTTCGAGTAGTCCTTCTGCGATGCATGCTTATCCACTTTTCCAGCATATTCCCATGTTTCGGCGCTCTAAAAGTAACATTCGTAATTCAAAAATCGAAACGAGAAACGAAAGAGGCTGATCGAAGAAACCCAAAATTACCCGCGAACCGATCACTTGGGTGACGTAACAACGGTCACACCAATTGTGAAATCATCCAGATATGGAATCAGATTCTGCTCTAACACAAATCACTGCCCAAAAAAATCCAATAAAGCGCCCTATTGACATGTGAAAAAATGTAAATTAAGGATTTACAAGTTGCCTACCACAACAGCGACGATGAAAAAGAACTTAGGTTCAGCCTTAGGTTGAAATTTGGTCCTATCTTCAAACTTTGTTTCAGAAATTTTAAAGATACAAACAATGAATATCCCTGCTGGCTAGAAGATTGGAAGAGGACGGGGGTCTGAAATCTTCTTTGTGTTAAAATATGCAGTTTATTTGGCGCTGTAGGCCCACCATAGTGGAGAGGAACACAATCGAATTTTGACAATTAATCAAAAACTGGAAATGAGACTAAAATACAGAGATAGAATTGCTGCAGTGAAATAGCAAATGACCAATGACCGAAGTGGTAAATCGTTGAAAAAGTTACTTTATCCATACGATCTTTCTGTACACCAAATTTTCCACCGTATCCATCACTTGCTTTTGGCATTTCTTCCGCTTGTTTTGCCTAAAAA